CTTTGTTTAAATACGGTATTACCATGCGGGATTCTCTTTTTGTTCACCTAGGTAATTGTCCGAGTTGAAGCGTCATTTCGTATTCCGGAAGTGGCGAAATAGATCACGTGGCGCCGCCAACGGTGCACGTCGTATACTTTAACCGTAGATCAATTAACCTGTATATAAGTTACATTTTTAGTACATATTACTCCTTTCTACGATTTCTCACGTCCCAGTTTTAATTCGTAAGTAATCTATCATGCCAACTGTTTCTATGTTTTACTGAATAACTCGAATAATGCGATAATTTTGAAATACACGACCACGTTTCTAGGTTAGGTAACCCTTGAATTTTTTTGTGTTGGTCTTCTGCTAGACAATCAGCGCCACATATTCATCGTTGAGAAAAGTATTTCTCGGTATTTTACGAAATTAAAACAATATACAGCGTTAAAAGGTTATATTATCGATTTCTATGATTTCTTTGCGTATTTTTTACGGTGTAAATCGACTCTTGGAAAAGTTGAGTCCGTATTTGGAAACTCTATTGACTTCGAAGTGATTGCCTGACTTCCGGCCAAGACAAGCCCATGTGGACAGCAGCAGCGGTGCCTCCGATCATTTCGTGCTGAGGCTGTCCCTCGTGTTTCTGTGAAAAAAACTTGTCCGACGAATAATCACGCGTGCACCGCGTAAGTCATCGCAGCATGGCTGATTTGGATGATTTCTTTGCGAAAAAAGATCGCAAAAAAGCGAAGGGGAAGAAATTCACAACTACGGAGGAGATAGCAAAGAAATTGGAAGAAACGGGCAAACGGTTGGGGAAGAAATCAAAAGACAAACCGGTGAACCCGGAGGGGGAAGAAACTCAACAAACCGAGGTGAACATTCGTCCATTCCGCATGTGTATCTTGTCCTTCATTTTTCGTTGAACTTTCGATCCTCGAATTGTGAACAGTCATACGCGAAAGTGCCGAATACGGTGCCATAGGTCGCTGCCATATTTGTTCTTGCAAACGTCATTCTTACTATTACTGAAACTAATCTGCTTACTTGGATCCTCCCAATCTAACATGATTCGCGTTGCCTCGTTGTCCGACGAGCAGATTGTTTGTTACATAATTGAATTGTTACGCGGCTACGGATATTTCCCTTTGTAAACTTACTGAAACAAACCAGCTGTTCTGGGATTATTATCGTGCGCGATTGATGCTACTTTGAACGAAAATGTGGTATTTTGGAGTAAAAAGCTTTTATACGATGGATTGTCGATATGTCTTTTTTTTTTTTTTTGTAATGTGAACCTGGATAAAACGTTTCTATAGGATTCTTTCATAATATATTATAAATTATGTGGAGAAATTTTTGTATTATTTTGCATGTTTAAAATATATTACTTTAGGATGAAGATGAGTGGAGAGAGTTTGAAGAAGAGAAAAAAGACTATACTGGCTTGAAGATTGGAAACCTGACAATGAACGAGTCCATAGATGCAGAATCTGATGATGAAAAAGGTACAGGAGACATTAGCTCGGATGGAGAGTCAGGTGAAGGTGGTACCAAACATTCAGGACCCTGGAAAAAGCCAGAGCTCCCTCCACAACCAGAACCAGCACCAGAAACAGCACCACCACCTCCACCACCTGTTACTTCAGGAAGTAGTTATAAGCCTCCACATTTAAGGAATATCCAAACAGTAGCTGCTAGTCCTAGACAACGAGCAAAAAATATTGCGCCAGACATACATAGTGAAGAATATTTCCCAACATTGAACTCCAAGCAGCAGCAAAGCAACGAACCCAGCGGACCATGGGGCAGACGGTATGTATCACGAGTACTTTTGATTACTTTAAAATAAAAAAAGGAAGAATTTGCAGGGAGAAAGACGGTACGTGTATATAACAAATAAATAATTTTATTTTAGGAAACGAGACGAAGGTACGTTCGAAGAAGTGCGTAATCGAGGGGGAAGTAGATCATATAGCGTACAGGATGCGCAAGCTCAAGCGCCGAAGCTCTCTCTGGGTAACAAATATGGTGCCCTATCGCAAGATCAAAGCTGAAATCATCTCTGATTTGATCGAACGACAAACACAATCATTATTACGTCATCGCCTCTCTCCGTTTCGTGGCCCAGTTACGCTATTAAATATGTTTTCTAGGATATAGAACACACAACGGAACGCATACGAGTAGGATGCATGATCGATTCACGTACCGTGCTCTAGCTTTCGAAAAGCCAGACGTTGATTAAAAAAACAAAACCAGGAAAAGAAAAAAAATCCTATTTCGTTCGATAGGAGATCCCGCCTGCTATCGTGAAACCGGATGTACCATTTCTTTCGCGAAAACGTGATTCGTGCTTACGATGAATTTCGTAAAAAAAAGCGAACGTTTATTTTTTCATACGAAGAGAACATGCTCAAAACACACATATATACACATTTAGCATCAGTTTTATATTTAATTTTTTAATTTACATACTAGAAAGAGGAAAGATCTTTATCAAGAGATGATGGGGGCAGTGGAGAAAAGTCGTGAGTTTGCATAGCAAACCGGAAATCGAGATAGAACTCTCGTAGCGCAAAAAGGTGTTGAACTTCGCGATTAATCACGTAAGACACTCATGTGGTCGCTGTATTTTTAGACGGTGCTGCTGTTTTCATTTAGCGTGCTTGCATTCGCGTTAGTCAGTCGATCACCTTCGAAACGTCTCGGAAATTATAGATTAAAAACACTTGGATACTCGAACGTGACATCGTTTTAACGCAGGAAGGACTATATTATATTATTACGTGTGCATTGCATAAAGAAGGAAAGTCGATTAGTCCTAATCGGGCTCTGTCTTTTCGAGTAATAGTTTCGCTCAACGGTAACGTATGTCAACGAACACAAAAGTTTAGATGAATTAAGATATATGTGGATAAATATATATACATAATAATTACATGGAAATAATTGAACTCCGGGGCTGGGCTTTGGAACGGTGCAGAAATACTGCTATACATGTCGATACAAAAGAATTGTTCGAAGGAAAGAAAACAGAGAGAACATATACGCAAAGTATAATGAAATCGGATAAGTTTAATTTGTGGATACTCAAAACATATGCAGAGGTCATACAGAAAGAAGAGACACGCACGCGTGAACGAACATACAATATAAAATAACAGGAGACGTATGTACGCTTTTGTTGATACTTGTTTAATTAGTTTTGTTGATTTAGGGACTTCTTTTGCGAAAAAGAAATGAAAACAGGGGAGAGGTTGTACGGAAAGAGAAAGAGAAGAAGTTGTAGAGTTTCTCCTGTGTGATATCAGGAATTCGGGGTGCTAGCGCTGTTATTTTTTGATGGTGAATAAAAAATGAGAAACAAATAGAAGAGAAAAATGTAACTCGAAGAAGCAAAATGGAGTAAGTGAGCCATACACGCAGAATTGCAGAAAAGAAAGAAATGGAGCCTTGTATAGTGAACTATAAGAAGAAAAAAAAAGGATGTGATTATTTATAATAAATTTCCTAGGACAACTTATAAGTACTGCCTTAAGCATTTTAATTTCGCGAACCATCAATGATGTGTCGGTGATCTCGCGACTGGTTCAGAACATGTGAAAAAAACGAAAAAAGAAATAAGTGCATGCTCAAAATGAGTGTGGTTGCGATCGTTAGTTTTCTGTTCGCGCGATCGACCGTCACAGTCGTTCTATCTCGAGGATCGAAAGCACTTTTCACGGGCATTTCCACGTAGAAGTACGCAAATTCCATATGCGAGAGTCTAAAGTTGTTTGTTCAGTTGAGTCGATCAGTTTGTTCGTTTAATAAATCGAACCATGTAAGTAATTATTCCTTCATATTGATATAAGAAAACATTTGTAAACGCGAAATTAGATGCAGTGACTCGTGAAAGTACTTAGACACTTAGTATAGAAAACTTTTATACGTATATAGTATGTGTTACATAAATCATTTCGAAATTTTATAGGCATAAAACACGATTGTCATGATTATATCAGTAAGATCTAAAACTGATATGAAGTTGTATATAGAAGTTACAAGATATATACTGCAGATATATGTTTCATATATCATGAATAATAAATTTGAACATACGTATAATGCGTATTAAAAATTCCCACTAATATAATAAATAATTGTCTGTTTAAATATTCTTGTGATTTCTACGAAATATATACTTGTACTAAATGTGTATTAGCTTTTATGTTCCACATTTGTTCCAAATATTTCCATATAATTATATATGGCAAAATATATATTATATACAAATTGCAATTTAATGATGATAATTGAATCTTATTACAGTGCTAATGAAATTTTAAAGTATTCCATATAATACACATAATGTACGTATAAAAGGTTTCTATAAGTATTCAAATATTATCATGAGCTACTGTATATATATTAGTATCAAATAATTGTAAAAAATTGTCTATTGTTTGGTTTTTTCAATATCAACGAACTGATCGACCAACTTCGTATTGTGTTAAAGACTACCAACCCTGATTTATCAATCGATTCAGACAAAACAGTCAAGAATAAAGGTCTTGGCTAATTTTGGAAAAAAGTGTGAGGGTTGGTGGTCTATTAACGCAGTAAAAATAGTAAAATCGAATGTCGAGAGAGAGAAAAAGATGAAGTCGCCCGACGACGACGTCGTTGTCAGGGCAACGTGGACTTCGCCTGCCTTTTGTTACAGAATAGTTGAAATAATTTTATCGCGACTGTTAACAGAGAGAAATCGATAGAATGACAGAGGAAGTGAAAGAGTGCGCGAAAGAAAGAGAGTGGCGAATAATGAACTTGATATAATAAATAATGAAGGAAACCAGAGAGTTGACATATACGAAACTTTGTTTCCGATGATATTTCTTGTTCTCGTTTCATTTCTCATTATATACACATCTTTAACGAAACTCGCAATACTCGTGCCCGATTTTGTGGAATGAATAATAAAAAAAAAAAAAAAAAAAAGGAAAGAGAAAAGGAAAACTGTTTTTTGCAAATAGTAATTATATATTACAAGATATATTTTCGAGATTGTACATAGGTATTTATGGAGACACTTTTCATTGTTATACGTACTGTCAAAATGTTTTTTCAACGGTCGGTTCACTTTATGCGAGAGAACATAGCGCTTGTTAACTCGTTGCGATGGAAATTAACGAGAGATAATATTTAAACCTCTAGAGTCTTAAATGTCGAAGAAAAAGTAGATTGAGTAGGAAACTTGCTTGTTGATGGTAAAAAGACATATTAGACTGCAGAGGATTAAATTTCAATGGTTTTCATTCGACGAAAAATCTTTTATTAACTATCACGATTAACAAACATGAAGTTGAAGCGTTCATGCGATGATGGGGTTAACAACATATTATGCAAAACAGCTTGATCAGAGTAGGTCTTCCGGCCTTACTGTACTCTCCTCGCTGGAAACAAATATATTTTGGGGATGAACTATCACTGAACTTCGCTTCTGTGATTGTACGAGGGATCGCGAGCATACTTTTCGCAATATTTGAGTCCGTGACTTCCCTCGTTGCTGTACGAGCTGTACATGGGATTCTCCAACAAGGATGCCCTGAACCTTGGTAGAAAATATATCCAGACCTTTGTCAAGGTACTGATCTGAGAACAAGTTTGATAATAAATTGAGCAGATTAATTTAATAACAATTGCGTATATTAATTGGTGCAGCATACTTTAGCCTTTTGTGTTTTTAAATTATAGTAAAAGAGATACATATATTTCCTTTGTTTTCCTTTAGACTTTTTATTTAAAAAGAAGTAATAGGATGTTAATTTTGAACAGGAACAATAGTTGAGAAGAAACAATATCTACCTCTTCAAAATTATCGCTCGATTTGGCCTTGCCTTCTGGAGCAATCAACAAATCTTCCTCTGATCGTTCGTAAAACGTTGGATGTTCTTCTAGTTCGTCTAACTTTTTTAACATTTTCGTGTCGACATCGTATACTTCACCAAATACATGCTGTTTATAAGGAAATAGAAAAAGGTAGGTGAATTAATTTTACATGTAATTTTTCATTTAAAGTAACTTACAAGCTTAATTCAAACGTCAAACATTGACAATTAATGTTAATTTTTTAATAACAGATATTAAAATTCAAAGCACAGCCTCAAGTTAGTAACAACACTAATGCTAGGACAACAAAATACAAACTCAGTTTAATGAATGAATTTAGTAACTCACAAATAAGAGATATTTCATTCGATCTAATATAAATTTGATAAATAATAATGTTCTTTGAGAAAAAACTGCGCCTATGACAACGGGCGGTAGACGTTGCCGCTTATAAACAATTCGGCGAAACTAGTTGGACAATAACATTATCTAAGTTGATAATATCGAACTCATGCAATACTCACGTGACCAAAGCCAGGTTTCTTCAACAAAAATGGTATATTATAATGAGTGGCAATTATTAGCGGATACGGAACAACGGTTCTTCCAAGTCCCAAGAACTTTGCGTATCCATTTGCAACATCTTGGATCAAATTGTGGTTGGGTTCTCCTCGCTTTAGTGTCCCGTATACGAAGATACGGTGTAGAGGACTCTTGAACAAGTGTTCATACATTTTGAACTTTCAATCGTATTGTAATTATATGAATATACTGTGCGGAAAATAATTTTTCATTTTAACTTCAAAATGCAAGCTTAAAAAACAGTTTTTTTTTTAATTCCAATAATTTACTTCGCTGTCGATAATGATGTACAAACAGTTTCAACGCTTTTCAAAGAGATGGCGTTAGTGGATAAAGTCCACTAACAATTTAACTTCACTGTCGATAACAATGGGCTACGCGTTTTCCAATAGATGGAGCCACTAGTATGTGCTAAAATTATTGGTTATGGCAAACGAGCGTCGAATCGTTTCGTTTCTTTCTCGAAGAGAACAAGTTGTTTTCGCTACCCGACAATGTTCACCACAAAGCATTAGTTTTCACGAAACAGTTCCGTATATTCAAATAAAATCAAAACCAACAATTATGAGAAATATATCAAAAACTAATTACGGTGTCACACTCGACAATGTTACGCATGTTTCGACACACACCAGAGGTCATTCGTGTTCACTTGTTTCCGGATACCGATATTGTCATCGACTTCACTGCACTTCCGGCATTCGTTTGTGTAAAAAAATAAATAAAAGGTATGGCTGGAACATTACGCACTGTTTTCTAAATTAAATATGATTGTTGCTTCAACAAAACCATTTAGTCGTATATCACCATTCGTTGTATGTTACATTCATTTACTTAGCAATATATGTTTATGTAATAAATTGTGGACAGTATTAAACTTGTATCGTTGTCAATATAAAGAACAATAGAAATGGCCAAATAATGTAAACTGATTATGATAGAGGAATTTCAAAAAATGTTAAATTTTCTAGGTTTTACCTCGTCCGATAGTAATTGCATGTCCACAATGTTAGTCGGCAGTTCATGGAACGAGTAGATGTCCATAACCGCGATGTTCGTTAGCATTGCTGCGGCAGCGATATGAAATAACATTGTTGCAAACTGCAACACGGCAAAACTAGTGATTCCACCAAGAGTATAGTGCGTACAACCCTGATCTCGCTGTCGCATAAGAGGTTAAAAGTTGAAGCGATAAGAGCTTTCGTGCGACACGGATCACGCCATTTCATTTTTCCTTACGATTAATTCCACTTCATTTTTTCTTCTACAATCTTTGTACCCTTTTCCGATAAGTTTCGATTGACAAAATATTTTTACTCATTGTCGTCGTAATTATTATATCTGAAGAAAAATAACACCATATCGTTTGATTAATTTACTAAATTACGAGTCTCTGAAACTTCCGTTGTTGCTTGTTATTATTAACGAATAAAAAAGAATAAGCGACACTTTAGAAATATAGTAATTTTATTCGTGTTAGAACAATTAATCACTTTCAAAGACTATTGAAAATGGTGTTACAATTTTTAGTTATATCAACGACACCTCGTTATTATAAATTATTGATACATAAATTTGATAAATTAATTTATTACTATTGAATATTTTATAATTAAATTATTTTAGACATTTATTACCAACTTATGGAACAATAATTGCGTAGTAGTAAAAACGAAAACAATTGTCGCTATAATAGTCAGTGGATAAAGTAATTTCCTGCTTAGCCTTCGTTTGTTTAATTTCATTTTCACGAAGATCCTCGGAGCATCTATCGGTGCATTGTAATTACGTGGACGACAGACTGATATTTTGTCGAAGGATCTGGCTTTCCTGTGACACGAATTGTCGAAAAGCATCATTCGTTAGACGTTTTCCGCTTTGTCTTTGTCGTAAAAGTTGATCGAACGTATTCCAATTTTCGCCGCCTTTCTCTTTAATATCCTCACCCTTGAGATATAGATTTATTACGATAAGAGGAATTAATTCATTTCGGGCGCAGTAGGTTTCATTACCTCGATGAGGACGTACAAAAGGCCTTTGCTCCTGTCTCCAAGTAACATATAATTCTGATAATAGAGACAATCTATCAATTCTTGTAAGATATTTGTCGTTAAATGATTGTCTAGATAGGAAAGATCTTACTTTAGAATTTGTATTATTCAGTCGTGGATGTTTATGCATTTCTGGAAAATTTAGAGATGCACAAAATGCGCAGAATATTCATATAATATGCAAATATGTACGTATAAGATAAAAATAATTGATAATTTATTTAGGCTCTAGTCAGGCTCGTAGAAACATGAATTTCCATAAAATACGTAATCTATTAATTATCTAATATATCAATAAATCGAAAGTAATAATCACAGCTTAAATCTAAGTACTGCAATTTCAAATTTCCTGTCGCCATCATCTCTCCATTCGTCGGAAAGCTTTCTTTCCTATGAGGATGACACGTTTCATGTCCCAGTGTCGTTCTGTTTTTCTGTACGTGTAAAACAATGGATATTATCCATTAGAAAAAAAAAAAAAAAAAGAGAAAAAGAATGATATCCTCGATAGCTGTAAAACCAAACAATTTTTTATAAATCTGTAGTTATTACTTGTATAGATTCTGAATCTGCAAGTGAAATTCTTTCTTCCTTCGTTTTGATCGAAGATTCCTGAAGATCTACAAATATATTTTATTCTATTCAGTTAGAATAAGTAACAAAAGTAGAACATTGATTAAAATTATTAGAAATGTTGTTGAAGAAATAGAATGACTTTATTCCTATGTCAGAGACGATCATTTATTTCTGACCGTTTTTAAATATTAATATTAAACATAGAAACAAACAATTCTCAATAAAAGTGTAACGATTTCGTCCATTTTCTATTCGTACTCCGTTCTTTCCCCCGAAATTCTCCATTAATCGATTAATTAATTAATTAAGAATATTAATCAACGTTCTGTTATACTTGTAATTTGTGCAAGTTACATTTTTTAGATCGTCTTGTAAGGCTCTGACGTGTTCGAGATTTCGCGTTCTTCCTCAATGATTCGTCGTTTATACTTTTGTCAATTTCCTCGTCCTTCTTCTTCTCCATCTAAGTATTAGTAATTTTTAGTAATTGAACGAAGCTGTGAATTTCATCCGAGAAGAAGGGACGTTCTAGATAAATTTCTGATGATTACCCATTCGTCCATTAACGACAGTTCAGCGAACTTTCTACGACGCAGCTCGACAATTTCTTCGTGCATCAAGGCAATTCTAATTTTATGAATTAAGTACGTCGAGTAAATTTACATATTAATCTGTTGTAACACTGATTAGAATAATTTATACAACGATAAACATTTCAGTAGTATTAGAATGCTATAGTGAATATACTTAGAATTATTGAAATGCAATAATTCTATATACTTTGAGTTATTGGAACAATTTATACGCATTTTTATGTACATTTTGAGCTCCTGTAATATTAAAGACGCGCCTTCATCGCATATCCTGTTTCCAAATAAAACAAGACACCTCAAAGACCTGCAAATATAAAGGTACTATACTTTATATACAAAAATACGTAATTAAAGCTAGCTGTAATTAAATAAAATGTGAGAAATATTTATATTGCTTGTTATTTCACATCCTGCAGCCTCAGATAAGTAAATATAAGGAAAGTTATTAAGAAATCTATCAAATTCTGCAATTTGGAAGATCTGTGAAGGAGCAAGTAGAAAAATCAAAGTAAGTAAGATAAATAAGCTAAGTATATACACGCATTCGTGTGTCGTCTCGTTTTGAATTATTTTGATTTATATTTTTTGACGCAAATTCGTATATCTTGAGTTTCAGGAAGAATTGTTGGGCCAACTTCCCGTTTTTCTATCGGGAGAACATAATTCAAACGGAAGGTTCTCCCACATTTTGACAAATTTTTCCACACGGAATTTCTCGAGAATGGACAAAGATTTTTGGGTCAAAATTGGGCCTCTGTATCAGGAGAACACGCTGGTACCGATATTATCTTTTTTCGGATACGAAATTTCATATTTTCGTGAAGTTTCCACAACGATATACTACACGTGGCTTGCATTCGATCAAACGACACTTGTAAATTCACGTGCAATCGCAAAATACCATCAAAGGCGTCCAAGATGCAATTCTTGTTCCAGTACAAGCCGCAAAACGAAGAAGAAGAATAGAGGAATATAGAAATAAGATTAAGTTACCTGTTCGTTCGAAGCATTTTCCCCAGATCGCCTGCACCATCTTTCGTTATATGATTATTTGCCAGATTTAGAATAATTAATTTGGGATTATTCGGTGGGTCACGATATCGTAATTCGTGCGCAATTTTCCTCATGCCATTATCGCTTATTTTGCACAGCCTCAGTGACAAATATTTCAAGCTAAACACGATTATCTGTCAGAGTGAATTCTGGACACGTCACTTTATAAATTATTAGGTTGCCCGAAAAGTTTCTGTCGTTTTATAAGATGATAATAAAATGAATAACAATTTCTGTTTTATATTATTTTATTGAATTATTCAGTATGATCCATTTCGTTCTATTTCTATTATTATGTTCCTGCATAATTCAATAAAAAACAGAAAACATAGTGCGTCTATTATTTCCTTATAAAACGAAAGAAACTTTTCGGACGACCTAATACTTGCCTTCCTCCAGGCGTGCAAAGCAAATGATAATTTTCTTGCGTGTTTGGATTCATGTCTAAATTCAAATCTTGCACGCATCCGATATTTGTCACCATTTCCGCGATTTGCATAACACCGAACGCGTTTATATTGCAATTTGGCAATCTATGAAAATGTTCGATCATTTCTTTGACGAACGTAAACGTGATACGTGAAATGTAAGCGAATAATCGTTTGGTTTACTTCAATACTGTGATAGTATTGTATTTCTGCATCGTAGAATTCAGTGCATCTAATAAGCAGATGGATACTTCACGGCGTGTAACAAAGTAAAAATGAATTCAAAGACGTGCGCTTATTTCAACTTCTTTGTTTTTTTTTTTTTTAATATTTATTGAAATTACAATCAATCCTCGCGTTGAGAATTTCAACTTTTGAACTGCGGATTTTTATGCGTCTACGAGAGATTCAAAAATGCCAAACTGCACGGAATGTGCATAGTATGTAAAAATATATGAGATATCCAAAGCAGAATATTTGCTATAATATTTAGTGGATGGTTGTTTAAGTTTAGTTCTTTTACAGTTACGTTTGCAAAATTATTAATTTTCATAATTATCAGTAGATTATTTAATTCTATTACGAAGAAAATTTCGTTTTAGAAGATACTTATCTTTGCTTTCAATTTTCACTGGCGTCACGAGTTTTCTATTTGGGTAAGTTACATGAAAAATTGGCGATCCGTCGTCCTCGAGTCTTAAAATATTCAAATTACGATGAAGATTTACAGCTATTTGGATTTTGATTCGAATTTAGAGGCGATTACTTTTCGGATGTTGCCGATAAACTATTGGAGACACGAAAATCCGCAAGATTCTGCTGTTTTCGAGATAATTTATTGTTAAAAGATGCACTTGATCTTATTAAGAAACTATGATTAAGTTAGGGAACTTTAAGGAAACGCTTACTATAATTCTAGGCAAGGGATGTACGT